ACCATTAGAAACCAGCTGCGTGAGATTGGTCTACGCTCCAGACGATCAGACGACCCGGGTTCCACTGACACAGGCCCACCGGATTGCCCGCAGAACCTGGTCTATCTAGCACCTGATATGGACACGCCAGCAGTGGTCTATTGTGCTCTTCACGGATGAGTCCAGGTTCACATTGTCCTTCAACGAAGGCAGGATCCGTGTTTGGAGGACAACGACTGTGTACAGGAGCATGACTGGTATGGGGAGGCTCCGTTATGGTGTGGGGTGGGATTGGACTCAACCACCGTACCCCCTTCATCGCATTCAAGGCACTCTGACGGGTATCCGCTACAGGGACGAGTTTCTCCGCCCCATTGCAATTCCAGCTCTTCGGGCAAAGGGCCACGGCGCGATACTCCAGGACGACAACACCAGACCTCACCGCGCTCGAATGGTGGATGACTTCCGGCCGCCGCAGCTTGTGATCAGGCTTGATTGGTCAGCTCGATAGAGTCCCATTGAACTCTTGTGGGATGCCCTTGAGAGCCGAGTAAGAGACCATCAGCCGCCCCCAAACAATGTTAATGAACTCTTTAACATTTTGGACCAAGAATGGCAAGCCATTCCACAACTGACATTGCGAACACTTATTCAGTCCATGAGACAAAAGATGCAATGACTGTTTTCTTGCAAAAGGTGGCTACACGCGATTTTGATCCCTAATTGTTTATGACGGTTGTGATGAGGGTTTAAAAAACATGAACTACCTCCTTCAACATCTGAAATTATCCATTTTCCATAAAAAGATGTGCAAAATGTCGTTTGCAAAAGTGATATGATGAATAAAGACCCCCCCCCCCCTCAAACAATTTTGAACCGTGTCATGTTTTTCAGTTTTAAGTACTATGTGTGACTTTAAGAGGTCCTTCACTTTTTATAATTAAAGTCTCAAGCCTTTATCGACGCAGTTAATGTCATATTAAAGGAGGCCATTTGTTTAAACATCCTTGCTTGCCAGGGTCAGTCGAGACAGAGGGATTCAACATCCCTGCTGACAGACAGAGACACTCAGTAAACGTCACTAATTAGGGGTCAAACACACGTCTTCTGCGTCCAACAGCAGAGAGTCTAATCATCACACCACGGATGGGCGCTCCGTCAGCACAGTTATTGACATCATGCTGGACTACGGAGCAGATGGCCTTTGTGCCAATCCCACAATATGCCTCTTTGAACTATGTTGTGCTATGGAGCTTCTTTTTTTTACTCTCAGCCCTTTTAACACAGTCCTATCGGAGATATACGTTAAATTCTGAGGCCCTGCCTGTTTAATAATCTCATATTATTGACAGAGGTGTTAAAAACCATATATTTACTTACTTTTGTATACCACAGACGCTGTTGTTGTTGTATTTTAAAAAAATTTTTTAGGGGGGTGGGGGTGAGGTTAAGCGTTCACTCGAATTCTATATAGGTGCGGATTTAGAACAAGGATCATAAATCCTCTCACTGTCTCCCTCAACAACTTACTCACTTAATACCACTTACTTTTGCTTTTTCATCCTCTGTTGCCGTTAAACGTCGAGGGGAGATGCAGTTTTCTATGGTAGGCCAACTCCGCAGCTCTTTCAGTTGTGATGTTATGTTTTCTTAGGGTTTTCTTGACACCCTCGATCCACCTTTTGCGTGGCCTTCCTCTTCCTTTATAACTCCCGCAATAACTCGCACAAAGTCTCTCTTTTCTCTCATTCAGTGGCTCTTTCTCTAGCTCACACATTTTTAGCTTACTTTCTAACGCACTGCATTAACTTTTCTCCCACACTATCCAGTCATCGTCTCTCACACTTACTAACTTGCCCTTTCCCTCATGCACTCATTTACTTAGATAAACAGGGGCGTATTCACTTTCACACTTCATTTTTACTTGCTTAACGACTCATCCAACTGTTCAGCCATTCCTTCACTATTTTTACACCGCTCTCTCACTCATTTAATGACTCCTTCATTCACTCATTCACTCACCAATTTATTTGAACACTCACTAATCATCCGACTCACTCTCTCAACAATTTCTTCTGTTGCTCATTAAGTCGCTATAATAATAACAACAACAATAATAACAATAATAATAATAATAAC